CTGCAACGGCGCATCACCACCACCATCACCACCCGTCTGCAGCAGCAGGTCAGGTGACCTCCTCACACCCCCACAGTACCAGTATGCACCAGGACGGTAGGGGGACAGGAGGGGGGGGAGGAGGGAGCAGCGAGGGGGGACGAGGTGAAAAACATGGACACAATGCCTCTCCACTTCCTGTCACACAGGGAACACCACATCATCACCCCATGGCGCCTAGCAATGGAAACTTCCTCCACGGTTATGGTGGTGGTGCGGACTGCGGCGTTATGAACAAGCAGGGACACACCCATCCAGACATGATGGGCCTATCAGAGGGTGGGAGCTGCAATGGGGGAGGGGTGATGGGTGGTAGCTTCCTGGGGGGGCTGGGATTACCCCCTGGGGTCATTGTCATGACGATGGGGTCAGCAGGGGGTGGGATTTCAGATGCTGGTAGCGCCTTCCAGATGACGGGCAGCCAACGGGTGTTAACGGACTGCCAGCAGCACGCAAACTCTTCCCCCTGCCCCTCTTCCTCCTCACCCTCATCGTCAGGGGTGACGACAGGGGGCGTGGCCTTGTCTTCATCTTCGTCTTCATCATCAGGGGTGGTAGCCAAGAGGAAGAGGAAGCGTTGCGGCGTGTGCGGGCCATGCAGGCGGCTGATTAACTGCGGCGTCTGCTCTTCCTGTCGCAACAGGAAGACGGGTCACCAGATCTGCAAGTTCAGGAAGTGTGAGGAGCTGAAGAAGAAACCGGGGGGAGGAGGGGTGACCCTGGAGGTGAGGACGTGCACACGCACAGGAACACAGACATCCTCACACAGGAGCACAGTGACGGAGTTGGCCACTCAGCACATTTCAGTCGTATTTCATCCTTTCTTTAAACACTTCAGAGGCGTGTGTGTGTGTGTGTGTGTGTGTGTATGTGTGTGTGTGTCCTGGCTCGCTTAACCCAGATCACTGCCAACCAGGCGGGAGCTGGAAGGCATCTCTCACCCTGCTGAGTATGTGTGAACGCTGTGCAGATGGTGGGTGGTGAAAAGCGAGTGCCGGGTCCCTGCTGAGGCCTGGCAGGCTGCCAGCACACACACACACACACACACACACACACACACACACACACCGACTCTCTGCTGATTCAAAGTGATAAAACGAGCTGCTGTGGGAGAGGAAAGGCAGAATATGTCATCTACCACTGGGTGTGTGTGTGTGTGTGTGTGTTTCTGTGTGTGTGTGTGTGTGCAGTAAGAATTAGTGCTGATCAATAATTCATTGACATCAGCCTTCGACCTTGCTGATGTCTCTATATATCACACACACATGCGCACGTCCTCCTGTGGGAATCTCCACAAAGTATCACTAATTATTCCTTCAGCATCAACACACTCGTGGCATGAACACGCTCAGTGAAACTCCTTCAGCATCAACACACTCGTGGCATTGAAACAAAGTGCATGTGTGTGTGTGTGTGTGTCAGTGAGACAGTGAATTAGCAGCCGCAATCTTCCTCAATTACACACTAATTGGACCTGTGGAGGCTAACGGCAAGTGACAGCATTGTGTGTGTGAATCACATTGTATGTGAGTGTTTGTATCCGACTATACTCGGTGTGTGTGTGTGTGTGTGTGTTCGCAGGTGGTTTCACACTCTTGCCTCATCCCTCTTCCGTTCTCTTTGATGTCGACCTGACAGACTCTCAGAGTTCACTTTGTGAAAAGACAGCCAAGCCCCGAGGACAGTTTTGTGTTGTTTTGTTGTATTAGACCTCAGAATTTCTTCCAACATGTCACATAACCTGTTTTCACACAACATGGCATCACGTTCATCAGTCCGGTCACACACATCTCCATATCACAAGTCCTGTACCATCTACGGACATTTTAAAACACAACTCGTGTATATTTCACTGTCTGACTTTGTCTCTTATCCTTAGCGACCGCCATCTGTTCCGACCGGCGAGGCGTTTCGTTGGTTCTTCTAGCCGTCCTTCCACCAGTCGCAGCTAGAGGCCTAACAGGAAGTCTCCATTGTATATGGACACAAATCAGGATTGGATGCATTTGAAAAGGGACTAGAACTTCTCCAACTGCACCAGATGCTTTGCAGCTGGATTACAGTTTCATGCTGTGTGGATGACTATTTAAGACTTTAAATCCCACCTTACAGGGAAGCAGCTAGGAGGACAAATGAGGAGGGGGCAGTTTGGTCACAGCCGATATGAACTGGCCAATCACCATGTGGTGAGAGGATACTTTCCCTGAACTTGTTTGCAGGTAAATGTTCACAGCAGCTCTTAATAGACAAGCAGAGGTTGTCTAGATGCTAACAAGCTAACTGGCTCGTAATGCTACCAGTCTTTATCGTTGCATCTTGGTGCCACAGAACACTACGGTTAGCAGCTTCCAGTGTTCTGTTTTCTAAGCATATTGACATCAGAGGTGCTCAGACATGACCTGCCTCCAGATGCTGTACCGTCACCCAAACTCCCCGTTTCATTAAGTGATTCTAACGAGTCTGCTGTCGTGCTCATTAATGGCTGTTACCACAGTCAGAGCTTTGTATGTGCTATTAAGAATAGAGACAGAAACAGGATGGGAACCAGTGCCAAAGCTTTGCAACATTTGGTTTGAAACTGGTTTACTACGATTGGCCAGAATGGGCAGGTACTGGCTGTGTTTGTACTGGTGAATCAGAGCAGGCCCCTCCCAGCTGAGATGTCTCACCACAAGCCAGGTGTGCCGTGTTCAGGTCTTATTTGACACCATTATTGGCAGAGATGTCCTGAGCCAAGGATCAGTATTAGATCAAATAAAGCCGATTAACATCGGAGCCTTTCGCTGCAGCACCAGCAGGCCGAGGGGGACACCCTGCTAAAGGAGCCAGGCGCTACAGTGGCAGCGTTTTGCTCATATATGCAAAGTGTGTGACACCTGTAGTGGCCACATCAGCTCTAACCCTCGAAACTCTCTCTCATCCCTAGTAATTGCCACTGACTTGTGAATAGCATTCATGTCAACACCGAAGTGAGAAGCAAATCTTTTTGGAAAAACTCAGATTTATGTGACTTGGCACTTAATGGAAGTGTCTGAAAAATGAACAGAGACTTTTACTGTGAGCAAAAGTCCATTGTTCAAGGGGGAGAAACCCAAATGTGATGGATAGTGTAGCTGGCCGACTCTGTAATCGTACAACTGAGGTGTCCAAAGACATGAATGTTTGCAAGTGCTGAACTGGGAAACTTTCCTCTCTACCATCCATCTTTTCCACAGCCTTCACCAACTATGATCAAACTGTTTCCTCCTCCTCCTCCTCCTCCTAGCAAACTACAAACCCTATCGTAGCCAAACCAAGAAGATTCAGGCTTCAATCACTGAACCGATTAACGTTTGACCAAAACCGGACGACAAGTTAACCTCAAAGGAAGAACTTCACCAGAGTACAAACCAACCGCAGCAGGAAGTGGACCAGGACTGTTATTAAGGACTACAAGTTAACCACAGTAGGACTACAATTACCACGTCACTGTTATTATCTGTCTTATCTGTCTACCTCCTCCTCAAGAACTTTAAAGGCACCTTGACCGATTTTTACTGGGCTGTGTTCATGCTGGTACGACTCTGTCTGCTTCTTAACCCTCTAGATGGTCCAGGGCTGATCTGCTTCTCGTGGAATATGGTGGGATTTTTTCTTTACCAGTCTAAAGGTTTAAAGGTTTGCATTTGTTTTATTTGCCTGGGTTTCAGTGGGACGTTCTCAGGGCACAGTCACACTTCCAGTTGGTTTTAATGAACTAAAGCAGACTAGAAGACCTCACTTTGTTGTGTGTTTGTATTTGCATAAAAGGTTTCAGTGGACGGTGTCATTTGATTGTGAAGAAGGAACATTTTAGACTTTGAATAATGTCTTTAAATACACACCTCCAGCCTCAAATGTTTAGCCCTTCCCCTGGACCTCAGAGGGTTCAGAACCAGTTTATCTGTTCTTGTACCACATCGTGACCAATACGAGGCAGTACAGGGGAAATCTGCCTGCAGTTTAAATGCAGGGAACCTTTAGATCCTCTGGTAAACTCTGACGTTCTGAGCTTAATCCTGTGACAAAAGGGAACTGAACTGAGCTGAAAGAGATCAGAACATTCCACAGTAAAATTACATGTAACTTCCAACACGTCTGTTTGTTTACCTTTGAACCCACCGCCACGTGGTCCATACCTTTTGTCATAAACAGTGGTTCAGTTTGCACGTGCTAAACTAGTTTTTAAAATATTAACTCAATGAATGTTGAGTAATCTGTTGCTGACAGATCTGTCTTGTCAGACTTCTGGACATTTGGAGAAGGCCAAGAACACTTGTCATGGTATTTGTGTATTTTCTCTCCGGTGAAATCTCCGTAGCAGATTCCATGCACCCCCTTTGTATTGGAGCAGGATCTCCAGACCTCGGCAAATCAAACAAACTTTATATATATCTTCATACAGACATTCATGGTCCCCAGAAAGTGAATCTTAGTGATCAAGATTCTCTCTGGATGGTCCCCTGACCTTTGGTCCTGGATGAATTGTCGTTAAATCTGTGTTCCCCACACAGCTCCCGTACTCACAGACGTGTTGGAAATACTGATTTATTTGTTTATTTTTGAGTATCACGAGGAAAACGTTCCCCTGCCTCTGTGTGGGAAATAAAATCAAATGTCCCCTTTTTCTCAGGGCGGCGTGAGGCGCTAAAGGGGAAGGGGATGTTTGTTTTTGTGTGTCCTCCTCATGTATTCTGTCTCTGTGACCTCCTCATGTGCTGAATTATAATAAAGCATTTCAAAGATTAGCTGGGAGTGTGTGTGACACACACAGCAGAGGAATATGGATGTCAGGTGATTGCATCATACAACACTGTGTGTGATGGTGTGTGTGTGTGTGTGTGTGTGTGTGTGAGAGAGAGAGCAGGCATGAAAATGAACAATATGTTTTTGTGCCACAAGATGGAAGCTGTGCGTGTGAGAGCTTGTCATCTCACTAATGGTGTTACTATCAGAGGGGAGAGCGACAAAGACAGAGGCTGGTTGTCCCTGACGACCGTGCGCCGTGTTGCCTGGCAACAGCGCTAACAATGGCCCAACACCAGTGTTCTAGAATGTGGGCGTGGCCTGAGAGAGTGGGAGAGAGTCGACTCATTAATATTCACACAATCAAACGTGACGTAAATGATTGATGTTTGTCATCAATCTGCAGATGAAGCAGGTTTATCGACTCTGTCCAAACACAGATGATTGTAGCTGTTGGTTTTATGGGTATTTCCCAGTGTTTTCCCTGAAATCTAATTTGTTAGTGGTCATAAATATTTGTTGGCACTCTTTAAATTAACGCTAATTAAGCACTAATGTAACAAGAGCGCATGAAACTAATTTGGTTCATATGCAAATATACAATTCAACATGAATTTAGAATAAAGTTTTGTATAATACATTAATACTAGTAAAATGTTTCCACGGGCTTTCAGCAGCATTTGGTATCAAACTGTAGATGGTGACAAATGACAGGAAACTCCTGAGTGAGTAAAATCTGATCTGAGTTGTCAGCCTGAACGTTTTCCCCTGACCTCGTTCAAGGCATTTTCACTATAAACTCCAGTCAGTTCGTGGTGAAAATCCAGTTTTTCCAGGGTTCGAACCATCAGCCATCATTTAAAATCACATTTCCTCCCACAGTGCACGTCAGATCTGAACAACTTGACCACGTTGAAACCTTTTGTGCAGAACTGCTTCCATGTGATTGGCTGATTAGATAATTGTATTAATGAGCAGGTGTACCTAATAAAGTGGCCGCTGAATAGAAAGTTACCTTAGGTGGAGGAAACGCAGTTTCCTGTGTGTTTATGATGCCAAATGTTTTTGCCCAGTAAATCCCAGTGCTCTTCACTGTTTCCACCCTTCTCCATCACCCCTCCTACTTTCTTCGAGCGGGACCTGGCACTGATCCATCGCGCAGCGCGTGTTTAACAGCCATTTAATCGGACCCTGATCATCTTAATTAGTGCAGGAGAGCCTCCGTGGCTGTCGCCGGCTCCCCCGACACTCATTAGCCCTCTTAGTTGTTTCCTCTGAGGACGACAGAAGAAGAGTTGGAGGCCAGGAGTGAGAAAGTGAAGGATGTAGAGGTAGGAAGAGGAGGAAGAGGAGGGGAAGAAGAGTAAAAAACAAGTGAAGGCTTCAGCTTGAGGATTCCTCTGGCTCCATCTGGTGGTGAGAAACGCAAACTGCACTTTGAGCCGTTTTCAAAATGAACTTGGTGCGTGTTGAAGTTGCTCAGCAGTGTTTGCACTATACTACAAACACAGTGTCTGCAGGTTTTGAAAGGCCTTACAAAGCATGGGATAAATATTTTAAAGGAGTTTAGACATGTTCTCTTGGCTGCACTGTGGTTAATCCACTTTAATCATTTCCTGTCTCATTATTGTTTTGGTACCGTTTCCAGCCTTCTCTCTCATCCTACTCTCACTTCTGGACCAGCATCAGGACTTGGCACTGGTCTCACAGCATGTTGGAGCCAGGTATGATTCCTTTATTTAATAATAATTATAAATGAATTGAAATAGAAAGCTAAAATGTGTTTCTTTGTAATGTAACATAATAATATGTCTAGGCCACATCATCCCTTCTGGTTTTCCATTATACTTATTACCTGGTATGACGGTGAAACACAAACTAAATGTCACTTTGCGTAGTAATAAAGTTGTTAAATTTGACTCCGTGAATGGCAAAGACAACACTGCTGCCGAGTTGTTCCAAGTTATTTTTGTTGCTCCACAACATGGATCTGAAAATAGGATTTGATACAGGAAACAACTTGGTAACGTTAGAGAGAAGGTCACTGTCGTTCACGTAAGAGTCCCTAACCTTAAAGGTTAAGACTGGTAGTCGTGTTAATGCCATTCACTAATGCTTCATAGGTCACTTTTACACCATTGGTAGCATTAACGTGTTGCCAGGTTGTGAATCCTGTTTATTATTGGTCATAAATGTCACTTCACACTTTCCACCCATAAAGTCGAGTTATAAACATTAGTTAAAGAATTACATCCCAAATCTATTAAACAGTTAAAGAATTACATCCCAAATCTATTATTAATTATCTAGTTTTTAAAAGGTGCAGCCTTCAAATGGTTTTTTTGTCCAACGAACAGTCACAGGTACATTCAGTTCATCAATATATCTGTCAATCAAATAATCGATTGATGGTTTCAGCTCCAGCCCGCGGTTCTTCAGAAGTAACGTGGTTCGTTATAGTTGATGAACCAAGGACGTGTCCTGGTGGAGGAAGGTGAACATCGGTTACTCGGGGCTCTAACAACCTGGCAACCCCACAAATCACTCCTCATTAAGTAAAAGAGTTATTGGCGTCAGTTACAACTTATAAAGTCTGTCTTTGTCGTATCAGTGTGGTCTGAAGGTTATGGGACACTCGAGGTACCAAAACACTGCTTCGCTTTCTGACCAAACCTTTATTGAGGAACCTTTAAGACATGAGGTTTTCCTACAGAAGGTGCAAACACCGACACACTCCAATCTTATTTTGAAGGATACTTCCTGTGCGATGTCTCCTGCATCAGTTCACGTTGGCAGATGTTTGGGTGACAGACACCAGTGAAGGACACACATCAGTTTATCAATAATTATCATGATTACAACCATGAATTAAAATAATTAGCTGACTTTTAATCCCTCGACAACAAGGGACTGTTTCAGAGTCAGTTTTCATAATGTGACCAGTTTCTGTGCCATCGGGCCAAAACTACATTTTGGATTTCACCTATTAAATATATAAATATCTAAAAAATGTCAGTAAAAGTACGTCAGCGTTTGTGACTGCATAATGATTTGTCAAAACGTCTAACCACAACTAAATACAGGTGTTCAGCCATGTTCCTCACATATGGACCCACAGAACC